ACGGGAGTCGCAGGAGGGCACCCTCGGCATTATATGTTTAATAGCCTCAGTCTGTCTCTGGGCGGCCGAGAACTTTTGGGCGAAGTCCTCGACCGCGCCACCGAAAAGGCCTGCCTGGGATATAGGGGAGTCGATGAGACGTGTCCGCTCGGCATCCCGCATATCGGCCAGGTTAAGCCACAGGTGTCTTTCCTGGACCACAGCTGTGGACATCACCTGACCAAGGGAGCGTGCGGTCACCTTCGTCGCTCGGAGAGCAAGGTCGGTGGCGGCGCGCAGCTCATCAAAGAGCTCTTGGTCAGCTCTGCCCTCGTGCATGTACCTGAGCATCCTGGCCTGGTAGACCTGGAGGATGGCCATGGCATGCAGTGAGGCGGCGGCCTGCCCCGCAGCTCTGTAGGAATTCGCCACCAAGGTAGACGAAAACCTACAGGCTTTGGAGGGGTGCTTTGGGTCACCAAGCCACATCGAAGCACTCTGCGGACACAGTTGCATCGCAACAGAGCGTTCGTCAGGGGGAACCCCAGTGTACCCTTTCATCGCGGCCTCATCAAGGGCAGAGAAGGCGGAGGAGGTCGCCGAGCGATCACGGGAAGACAACGGGGACTTCCAGGAGCTTGTGACCTCCTCATGCACTTCCGGGAAGAAAGGAAGTGCTTTTTTTTCTTTTTTTTCTGCGCCGACAAGAGTCAGCGCGTGCAGCCCCCAAGAACCAATCATCCAACCGCGAGCGTCAGGAGAGGGTGGAGAGTACCACGCTAACCCGACACTCGCGGCGGCCCGGGAAAGCATAGCTGTTAGTTCCGGGTCGGTTCCCCAGGGGGCAGCAGCACATCTGAATCCTCATCCACAGAAAATTCCTGCTCGCCTTGTGATGCGGCGATCGACATCGCCTCATCATCTGGAGCACCGAACGACACACGAGGCACATCCGAAGACGGCCCCGCGGCTGCACTCGAGGTGCTCGCGGGTTGCTGCGCTGGTGAGGGGTGTGTGGCCCGAGGACGCATCGTCGGGGCAGTGTTCCACACCATAACCCTCAGATCACCCTGGCCACCAGCCGAAGTACCAGCTCTCGAGGAGGGGGTAGATCGGGGTGTGGCAGAGGGGACTCTACCTTTAATAAGGTCACAGAGTCTCGGTCTTAGCGCAGCGATGGTCATGTTCCCACAGTGAGAACATGACTCATCCATGAAAGCTGCCTTTGCGTGTTCTAAGCCCAAACACGCAAGACAACGATCATGCCCATCAGATAATGAGACGGAACGACCGCACCCAGAAATACACGGGTGAAACATCTTGAAAAAGACGTGCCCGTGCAAGCTCTTTTGTGAAAGGACGCTCAGCAGCCTGTGCTGAAGCGGCCAGGGAGAAACACACACGCTGGATGCAGACCACTGCACAGATCAGCAGGCAGGAATGTGAAACTCGCTGGAAATCGCCTTTGCACCAACACAGACTGGAGAGCTGCTCGTCTCAAAGGATACTCGATGACACTCAGAGAGAATTCAGGCTTTAGGAGTGAAGAGGACCTCTTGGCTCCGAAGCAGAAACATGTCTGCATTCTGCCAGCGTTCTTCCTTATATACCCACGAGGTGGGGCGGAGTTACGCTATGCAAATTCCGCAGACCCATGGCATTTCTTTGCCATTGGCTCGTTTTTTAACATTCGAAGGTGATAGGCATCTAAGCGAAACCCCCATTTCGTTGTCATTCGACCAGTGACTACAAAAGGGAACTACAAATTTGACTTGCTTTACGGCAAGTGTTACAGTTGCTGATAGGTGGAGCGTACTCGACAGTAGACTACAACTACATGTAAGATACCTAGCAGCCGGGGTAGCTTTTGAATTGTCATCATGATTCCAAAGCCGGTGATGGATAAACAGAGAGCATGTGCGTGCGTGCGTGCGCGTGCGACAGTAGGATGCAGTAGGCTAAATTATTTACGACAGCAGTAATGGACAATTCCGCTTCCAATCTGTAGGGCGACCGCAGAGGAAAAGTTACTTGGTGTTGCTTTAACAAAGTGCCTAGTCATGCTAGTTGCTGCAACTGTGTAACCAGTTTCATCCTAGTGTGTCATCTGCAGATGACTGATATTTATGGCTTAGGGTATTTGAGAGTGTGCTAACTTTGGTCTGTTATAGAGTTATTTTTATACACTCTTCTGTATTCTTGGTGGTTGTTGGAATGATTCAGAATCACACTCTTGGTCAAACATACGGTTGAAATTGACTGGTTGGTATTTTTCACCAGGGAGTCTTCCAAACATCTCTATATTCCACAAGGGAGTTTTTTTTATTTATTTGCCAAAGTAATCAAAACAGTGGGTGTTTACTGACAACTTATAATTAGCAACAAAACCAAGCTTTTCAATCAGATGATCAGGGACAGGGGGAAATGGTTTATTATTAAATGTTTCAAAATTATGACCTCATTTTAAATAATAAAGCAAAAAAGTGTTTTATATTTTCTAGGGATGCACCGATCCCCATGTAGTATTGGTATCGGGCTGAAAAGTAAATGTATCTGATTAATAGAATATTATGCATAAATTCAATTTTCACACTCAGAACACATGCGTCCGTTGGATTAAAACTAAATCATTTATTAGGGTGATATCAGCTAAATTGGGCCACTTTTTGGTAAATCGTTTGGGACAATAATACAATACCATATTGCCTTTTCCATGAGGTTTTATGATTAATAATGACTGTTTTTGATAATTTTGTGTTGAAATTATGTAATAAAATATAATTATTTAAATTGGGCCGCCAAGAAAAACATCACTTTTACAAAAAATATTTTCATATAGCAAACTAACAACATTATTTCTGATTAATGCCATCAAGACAGATATTATGCATAGGTTTTTTATGTGCATGTTTTTTTTTTTTATAGATTTATCATACTTATAAAAGTTTAGTTAGATTTGGTATGCCAGGCTACTTACCATGCAGCTTTCTGGTGTAGTCTTGATTTGAATTATTCCCCCGCCCACCATAGCAATCTCAGTAAAAACTTATTATATAATATACACTACCGTTCAAAAGTTTGGGGTCAGTGAGAATTTTATTTTTATTTTTTGGAGGAAAGAAATCAATACTTTTATTTATCAAAGAATAATTAATTTGATCGAAAGTGACAGTAAAGACATTTATAATGTTACAAAAGTCTTTTGAACTTCCTATTCATCAAAGAATCCAAAAAAAAAAAAAAAAAAAAACTGTACAACTGACAGACCAACAACTGTTTCAACATTGATAATAATAATAAATGTTTCTTGAGCATCAAATCCTCATATTATACTGATTTGTGAAGGATCATTTGACACTGAAGACACTGACACTGGTGATGCTGAAAATTCAGCTTTGATCACAGGAATAAATTACACTTTACTATATATTCACACAGAAAACAGCTGATTTACACTGGAATAATATTTAATACTATAACTGATTTTTGTTGTATTTTTAATCAAATAAGCGCAGCCATGGTTAGCAGAAGAGAATTCTTTTAAAAGTATTTAAAATCGTACCGACCCCAAACTTTTGAACGGTAGTGTATATTAAAAAGTTATTTCGGGTAAAGGAATTTTAAACAATCTCAAACCAAATGTGTTTTTGCCACAAAATACTATTTCTGATATGCGGAAAATTATTTGTCATTTATTTTTAACCATAGCAATGTTTTTAAAAACAGATGAAAAAAAAGAGGTTTTGTTGGTAAAATCTTGTTTCCCCTAGTGTAGCCTCAGCCTCAGACTTCACCTCATAAGCCACACAAAATAGGAAACACTTCAGAAGTTCCAAAGTTGTCATTTGACAGGATTTGTGTGTGTCACATTCTTTAACGAAACGAGGGCGTATTGTGAAGTGACGTCACGCGCGATGGGGAGTCAGCTTTCAGTCAAGTTAAAACACATCTTCACTTCCATTTATTGCCTTGACTGTCCCACCTCATGCATCCTCTCTATATACACTTGAGATGATATTATGGACCAGAACTTCTGTATCAGATTATGCATCTTATGTGGTAAGATATTTATTTAGTTAGTTATTTTTTTTCTTCTCTATCTTTTATTAGCCTAGTTATTTTGTATACACCATCGTTACCTCAATAGCTGCCTATTTCCACTCTTTTGTAAATCGTTTTGCTCACTTTTGTACGATTTAAAAGCAATGAATGGCAGTGAGATTTGATCATCATCTCACCATGCAAAATTGTCTTTACATTCTCTTTATAGTCTATATTTGTTCAAATTTAAAGCAGTGAAATGAATTGCAATAATCATGTTGTACATTAATAGATGAATGAGTGATTTTAAAAAACACAATATATCATTGTAGGAATTTTAGTTTAAAGCTCTTTCAGTTTTCATTTTATTGTAGATTTACATTCAAAGACATTGTTGATCATATTTAAAAAAAAAAAAAGAAAAAAAAAAAGACATCTAATTTTTGGACCTCATAAGTTCAAAACCATGACCATCTTTCTAAAGTAGTAGCATATGACCAGATATTAAATGTATATATGAGGGTAAAAAAACCTTCCTTCTCTAAATGCCCCTGTCTAATTCCGTCTCATATGAGCTTTCTGCCTTCACACATTTCACACCCAAACACGCATCTGTGAGAAAACCACTGCAAAAAATAATAGATGTACGACACATTTTCACATTTACTCGTATTAAAAAACAATTATACTTAAGAGGAAACCAAACAAACATTGTTTTCTGGGTTTTTTTAATGGTTACAAGACATGTTTTATGTTATTTGTTATGTTATTTTTTGTCAATTGCCTCTATTGGTGCTACACAGTGAAATAACCAGCAGCTGCTGAACCGATGTTGGCATCTGTTACTAGCATGTATTTTAGCATGGCTGCAATGCTGTATTGACCAATCAGCAAGCAGGAATGGAAATTTCAATTTGATTTAGCAACTAGAAACTGTTTGACAGTCTTTATTATCACTTCTGAACATTTTAGCATCTCAGTCAGTGATGGCTTTCAACATTGACCCTGTTTCCTGGAAAACCTTCACTGCACCTTCACCTTCACAGAGCCAAAATGTTGCCTTTGGCTATAAGGTGATACAGAAAGACGCATCAAGGTGAGAGCAACATAACCACTGATAATGAAAAAACAAAACGCCCTGCTAAGACAGGAAGAACAAAAAAACAACCACAGTTTTGTAGCCTTTAGGGGGAGGGGGTGGGGTGGCAACGTTTAGCCTTTTGTGCTCCATTGCACATAGAGAACAATTTTACTGGTTGACAATTAAAGTTTGTGTTTCTTCTGAATCTTCATTGTTGAATTGTTTATTTGAACTTACATCACAGATTATGAGAGAAAGACCATATTTTGATGCGCTGTTATGGAGTGAATTATGTGCCATAATTAAACAAACAAATCCAGCATTTTGCAAACAAACTCGATCTGCTTTGCAAAGGAAAACTCGACTCGCAAACAAACAGAAAGCAATTTACAAAACCAAAGGTCAATTTGAGCGAAAATGCAGTGGAGTAACCAATATTGTGTTTTACAAATATAAATAAATGAGCCTATAATAGCAACTTCCTCTTCTAAAACAGTAGGAAAACCTCAAGATGTTTATTATAAAGTGAGACAGAAACTTTTTCCTCAGCTGTAGGCAAAACCAAGTGCGTTTCAAATCAGTGCTTCTCCCGGGAGACTAGAGATCGAATCGACCCGAGATCGAATCTCAATGTAGCATACATGATGTTAACCGATGTTGGCCTACAGCGTTTATATTTTACCACCTTGATGCTTAAATAGGTACCTGTTTATAACTGTTTACTTATTTAAAGTCAAGAGTTTTGTTTAATTATCATTACAACATAAATTTGCTACATTCCTGTAGAACCGCAGCCGCTGCACAAACGACAAAAACTGATGAAGGAAGATTGTCAGCCGATTGCATCAGAAAATGAAAATGAAGAAGCTCGTCTTTAGTCTGCTAAATTATTGTGTAATGTAAAAGAACACTAAAATTACTTAAGTTTGAAACCAAGTTCGAACATTTCAAGGTTTAAATAAAGGGTCGGGACAGTTTTTTAAAATTTAAAACAGGGTTGCATCGGGTTTAGAGTTTATTTCTTTTGCGATGCAAAATAAGAAACACTAGGCTAATCTTATTCTTGCGACATTTTAAATTTGTATTGCCAAAGAAATTACAGCTAAATTAAACAATTAAAACAGTTGTAATAGCAAATTTTCTATTAAACAATCATCAAAGCGTAAGAGACAGTCTGAGAATTAAAAATGATTTATTTCTTGCAAGAAAGGTTCAGTTGCCCCACAGAGGTAGTCAATGTACAGTCTGCGGAGCAAGTGAGACGAAGCATCAGAGGGGGAGAGTAGTTTTATACAGCTTATCTCAAGGTCTGTTCGTCTACCATAGATGGGCTAAAGTTCAGTTCTCTCTAGTCAGGAAATAGTAATAATAACCTGAACTTTAGGGTTTGGTCATGCTCTTTCTCTTACTACAAAACCGGCCTGTACCCTGACCTTTGGGGTCAAAGTCCACCCGTCTCTCCCCGTCCGCTCATCTCACCTGCTCGCCTCAATCAGCCGTAGCAGCACTTATTGGTTTGGAAGAGATGGGAATAATTCTGCCATAACACAGTACAAAACAAAAATTGTCCAAAGAAACATAATTAAATTAAAAACATGCGTTTTTCTTTGCCTCTCTCGCGCTGGATCTCTTTTATCCTTACAATAATTTTGCCTGCTCATCAGGCTGGCTATCCGACACTCTCCATATGAAAGAGGAACATTTACACCTTTGTCCAGCAACTGTCCCTCCAACCCCCCACAGGCTATCGGAGTCTGAGGCTGCAGTAACAATTGCCTTAACACAAAGAGAAGTCGCAATTCACAATTAAATCGCTATTCTAGACAGTGTTGATAATTAAGGAATTAAATGATTTAAGTTACATGTAGCCTAGTGATATTTCTGTCATAAAAGTTTATTACTAAATATTTCATTATTTCAATAATTGATGAAATAAAACTGGTTTGGGGCAGCTTTTTCCAAGCAAAACTAAATATAATCTGAAAAAAAAACGCTTGTTAATTTGTTGTCATGAACAAAATGTTCAACTCAATATTAAAGTCTACAGGGATCTTTGGATCCTTACAACCAGGCATGCAATTTGTGAATTAATTTTTATTTATAATTTTTTTATTATTCAAATAAATATCGAAACACGGTGCTTTGTGGTAATGCTGCTAAATTAAATAACATTTATAGAATAATTATGAACTTAAATGAAACAATATCGCAACATTTCGACACATAGGCCTACATTATTTGTATTTTAATTTTAATTCAGGGCGATTTAGCCTACATTTAATTAGAGCGAGATTTTCACCCTTGTCTTGTCATTTTCTCATTGGGAAGCGCTTACGTTTGAGTAGATCCTCTGTACCTCTCGTTTTCATATGGATTAGCCTACATAATCAGATAATATTTATTAGCCTAAATATTTAGACATTTAAAGGCTTTAGACATAGCCGATTTCTTATCGTGACTGAGCTGAAGTGGCTTTCGGTTCATTTTTGTGACACGCAGTTCCCGGAGACAGAGACGACAGATATACTGTTTTTGTCGTTAGCCTAATATGAATACAAGTTTACAGTTTTGAACGATGTAAGCTACTCTACTCTTATCTGTATGACCAAAAAATTACGGAGTCGCCTATTAAGTTATTTTAGCTGTAATAATGAGAAAAATAAATTAATCTAAATGAACGCGCCGCCGCGTTTGTCGAACAAAACTCACCATGCCAGAATAAAACCCGACTTTAGAAAATTTAGATTTTATTGTTTGTCGTTTAAACGTGCCTGTTGCATATCTCTATTTTATATTTGATATTGGTGAAGTAGCCTATAGCATTGATTAGCTGTGGGGGGAGGGGTGTGGGGATTCAAATAATTCAGCAGAAGCAGGGATGTTTAGACCAGAAGGAAATCCCAGTCCCCCCTGGCAAATCACACTTTACTTAAAACCATGTTTTTAAAAACTCTAGGTTGTAGGGAACAGACCTCTCTGCCATGCGCGCGCACGGTTTGGAGCACAATATCTGTCTCGCATGCACGCTCGCTCTAGATAGATTACGGGATATTTTTACTAATTTGCGGTATAATAACTAGTCGATCACGAGTGGCTCAACAGGTAGATCTATAGATAAACTTATCTTTCAGGAATTTGACCGACCGGGTTGACACTTCAGCGTGAGAAATCGGGGGTGTGGAGTGAGAGCCTGGAATAAAAAAAAAAAAAATGCCTATATAGGCTATATATAATTTATTTTTTTACAGAACTGCTTTTGAAATTACGATTGGTAGCCTATTATTATACAGATGCAAAGTCGTTCTGTTGGATACTATTTTGTTCCTTAGTGTAAAATGGAAATGCATGATAATTGTATTTTATAAATATAAGCAAAAAAAAAAAAACTGTATTGTGTAACAGAGTTTTAGAGCTAGACAAATCTCTCTGCAATAATAAATATAAAATTTACAGCTGACCATGTTTGTGCGGGATTTGAACCCATGTCATCTTGATGATCGAACCGTAAGTTCTACCGCTGGCCTATGAATTTTATAACTGAGAAATGCCCAAACGTTTATTTCTCACATGAGCGAGAAAACGTTTTGTCTTTAGCCTGTGAGTGTAGGCCTACTTTAGCCTTTTACAGTTTTAAAAGATTATATCTTATCTGTATGACCAACCATTTGTTGTAGGCTTATTTGGAAATTACCATAACTTGTAGTCAGTGTTAATTTTGTCAGCAAATTTTGATTTAGTTTTAGTCTTAGTCTTTTGACTAAAATGCCATTTAGTTTTAGTCATATTTTAGTCATCTGAATTGTTTTAGTTTTAGTCTAGTTTTAGTCGACGAAATACAATAACATTTTAGTTGACTAAATCTACAGTAGATTTAGTCGACTAAAATATAATGGGTTTAGTTCAATTGTAATGCGTTAATTTAGAATTTCTCTAAAATTTCCAAACCCATATACTCCCGGAGAAAACATCTATTAACCTATTAATATGAATGATTTTTAAGTTTGAACATGCAATACAGATACAGATTTAACTGCTGTTACTTAAAAAATATCTTAAAATGAAATAAAACCACTTTTCCTAAAGTACAACACAGTCTTCTTTACAATGAATGATATATTCATTCCTTATAACTACTTACACATCATTCTTTATTCTTTCAAGCAGACATATTTATTTGTATGAATTAAATATAATTAATCCTTATTAAAGCTATTAACAAACAGTGAATGCTTGATCAAAATTAAGGACACGGACTGCATTAGGTTTATTGCCACTGTCACTTTAAGACGTCGGATCATGTCCAATGACAATACAATTGCACTGATGCACATCCGACACACTCACAGTTTAAGACATAACCAGCATAGTTTACATGAATACTCTCCAAAAAGGACATTTAGACATACTGTTGTGTATTTCTCCATTCAGACACGAAAGAGAGCTCAATTCAGTAGCCTACTCGCGCACTGTAGGTGTATTGTGCATGACTGCACGCTTCGGGTTAGGTGTGTGCGCACAGAAAACCGCACCGAATAGAGCTCTTTTTTGCATCGTCACTCTTATTCAGAGATCTATATGTCTGCTCTACTCATTCTCCCAGACGTTCACATTTTTTTACGTTTTATGACCGCGGGGTAGATCACGTTACAGTAGCCTACAAATGTGCGCATCTATCACACACGCAGGACATCAGTTCTGACGGATCGCTTCCCAAATCGTCACTATCTAACATTTTCGTCTAGTTTTTATTCGTTGACGAAAATGTCAATAGATTTTCGTCATAGTCTTTGTCATTCAAAACTAGGTTTTATTTAGTTATCGTCTCGTTTTCGTCTGTGAAAAAATGTCGTTGACGAATAATTTTCGTCGTTATTTTCGTCAACGAAATTAACACTGCTTGTAGTATTTCATCCTTAGGCTACTGTTAATAGACATTAGCCCCACTTACGTTTTGCTAAATGTCCCTTTGCGCCACCTGGCGGTCATTTCGCGTACGACTTTGAAATGCGACTGGTTTATTTTTATGTGTGGATGGCTAAAAGGTGTGACTAAAAATGTGCTTTTGGCTTTCATTTATATTTTGATTGTTTGTATATATATATATATATATATATATATGTGTGTGTGTGTTTGTGTGTGTGCGTGTATATAAATATTTATTTATTTATATATATATTGTCCTTGCATTCTTTCTTGTGTGACACCCCTGAATGAAAGGCTCATTAGTATGCAGTCTGCTCAGGTGAGAACTGCCTAATTATTCATGAGGGGGTTGGGCCGTTCCGCCCATCCGCATATTGCCTTTGCAAACAAAAAAAAGTGTTTTTCACAATTTAAAAAAATCTATTGTTTTATGAGAATGATTAGGCAGAATGATTTTCAGATCAATTTGAAGCAAAAACCCTAGGCGACAACATCCACTAGTCAAAAGTCTTGTGGACAGATATTTAGTATGTTATTTGTGGCCTTATATTAGAAACTTTATTTTTTATTTTTTTCAATAACCACGCATAAACAATATTCTCTCAAAAATACAAACATGTGCATACATGTTGCTCACACATTATGGTAGCCCTGTGTGTGCTATATAGAGTGTAATTTCACCTGTGCCATTAATATGTTTATAAGCAACTGAAAAAAGCACAAATGTCAGAGCATGCCAAAACATCTCAAGGACCCCGAAAACACCTCAGACCCCAGAGGGTTAATGGCTGTGTGCAAACTTTTATTTTGGATGCGATTAATCTTTGCACAGCCCTACAACAAATTAAAACATGATTTAAAATATAATTCAAAGCAAAACCTTTTGATTTGATGCTTTGAAAAGTGCACTTAATAAAAGTGTACTTAGTTAAGAATCATAGGTAATACTTTATTTTACAGTGCCCTTGTTACATATGTTACATTTTTATTACTGTGGTAATAACAGTAAATTATGCATAATTAGTAATTACATGCAACTATAACCTTAAACCAAACTTAAACCAAATTATATTTTAAGTACATGTTGTTAATTAAACTGACTTTGTACTTAACTGTTACATTGTAACAAGGACACCTTAAAATAACCAAAACATAGTCATAAAAGTAATGTCTTTAAGTATTTTTTTATAATCATATTTCATAATATTTTATTATCTTCAAGTAGTTTTTTCGCAGATTTTAAAAAATTGAAGTACACTACAAAAGCACATTCAATACAATTAAGCACATTTCTTAACAAAGCTCAGACAGTGTACATAATAAAGGGCCTTCATTTGAATAGCTAAGATAACCTTTCTACATTTGAGTTGTGCAATGTGGTTTCTTTTTAAAATATTTTAGTCAGAAGGCACTGCAAAGCAAATTACATCTCTAACTAACTACATTAGTCGCTGTAATGTACAGTAGGTCATGCTGGAGAACTGCTAAATTTAAACGTTTTTGAGAGCCACTGCTGACGGTTCTGGTCCAATTAAAAATATTTTTTGAAATTTAATACAGTTTCATAAGAGAGCAAAGGTTTTGAATTCCACCTAATGTTTTGCCAGTATTTCTTATTTCCCCTGTCTGTGATTTCCTGTAACGTAAAAATATTTTGCAACATTTAACTAAAAATAACTTAAAACTATGCTGATGTCCATCCTTTTTTTCTGTGTGTAATACAGCATTTTTTGCATCATAATCAAACAGCACACCCAACCAGGAACACCACAGATTTCTCCTTTTTTAACATGTTCTCTTATTCTCCTGTCATCTTCCATAGTCTACTTGTGAGTGATCCTTTAATACAACACCATCAAACTCAAAGAGGACAAATATATCGTTGTGCTGTCACTGAAGGAAACTGCACTCCACTGTCCATTACCGGTACTTTGTTTGTAAATGATGATTTCATGTATGTAATAAAATATACTAGTTGTATTATCCATGATAGTATTTCTTTTTTTTTAATCACTTTTTATTGAACAGTCACCAATGAGGCTGTCAACATGTCCCTTGGACTTTCAATGTCTCTAGATCCTCAGTCTTCAACAGCAGTGGTAAGTTTCATATTTTAATAGAGTCATGATATTTTTTATTGTTATTTTATGTTTCCTGAGGTGGACTTATAGTGTTGGTATGATTTTTACATCAAATTGTCATAATTTAGAAATAAAAGGCCATTGTCCACCCTGATTTTACCTCTGATATGAACGCTCTGTTTTAAGGGGTGTGTCTGCCGTGAGACTTCAGTGGGAACGCCCACTGTTATGATTGGCTAACATCTCTGTATATGAAATAAGTATTACATATGGAACTCTCTCAAAATCTTTTACTACGTTTTTACCATTACAGCTGTCGAGATTAACTAATACTGAAAGTGTTGATTATAGTATTATATTTAGATCCACTCCCGTCACATGAAAGATTGCAGCGATAAACATTGTAGCCGACAGGGACGGACTGGGGCTAAAAAACAGCCCTGGACTTTCTCCCAAATAGGCCCATCATCCAGCCATTCGCCCCTAGCCACTAGGATGTCCTGATACTATGCCACAATACTGTAACCTATATCAGACAAGGTATTCACAGCAAGTAATATCTCAAAAACAATGATGACAATTGGGGTTTTGTTTATTAATGAAGCCTCAGTCTTCAAATAAAAACAAAAAAATGTACAATGCCATTACATCTGCATTGAAAATAAAATACAAATAATGAAATGTCACTGGCTACAGAAACCCTAATTACACAAACGTGTAATTATAAAACATTTAGTTACTATATACCAGGGGTCTCCAACCTTTTTGTGTGTGAGGGCTACCTCAAGGGATAAAATAATCTAGAAGGGCTATACTAAAAAATATTTATTATAACATGGTGGTGTTTTTTTACCTTACCTTTACTTTTAACTTTGACTTTTTTATTTTTCACCATCATATGCGAAATAATAAAATATCTTGATATTCTGGTTCAACAATTGGTGAAAATTTTGTAATATATATATATATATATATATTATTCTCTAAAAACCTATTGTAGCATAAACATTTAGTATAAATATTTAATGCAAAAGAAATAAATAAACTGCCATAACTTCTAAACAAAAACATTACTGCATTACATTTAATAGCCTACATTTATAGGCCTACATGACTATTAACCCTCTGGGGTCTGAGGTGTTTTTGGGGCCATTTGGATGTTCTGTGATGCCCTTACATTTGTGCTTTTTTCAGTTATTTATAAACATGTTAATGGCAAAGGTGTAAATTCACTCTATATAGCACAAACAGGGCTACCATAATCTGTGAGCAACTTGTATGTACATTGTTTGTATTTTTAAGAGAATATTGTTTATGCGTGGTTATTGAAAAAAATTAAAATGAAAGCTGCTGAAATAAGACCACAAAACAAATACTAAATATGTGTCCACAAGACTTTTGACAAATGGATGTTGACGCTTCGAGTTCTGGCTTCAAAATGATCTGAAAATCATCCTTCCTAATCATTCACATAAACCAATAGATTGTTTTAAATTGTGAAAAACATTTTTTTGTTTGCCAAGGCAATATGCAGATGGGCGGAACGGCCCAACCCCTATCATGAATATTAAGTGGTTCTCAGACAGTGACCCTACATAATAATGAGCCTTTCATTCAGGGGTGTCACACAAGAAATAATGCAAGGACAATATATATATATATATATATATATTGTCATTGCATTCTTTCTTGTATATATATAGCCTAAATATATATATATATATATATATATATATATATACACACACACACACACACACATATATATATATATATATATATATATATATATATATATATATATATATATATATATACAAACAATCAAAATATAAATGAAAGCCAAAAGCACATTTTTAGTCATACCTGGAAACAAATTCTAGTCAAATGCTATATGGGCCATTCTACAGAATCTTGAAAAGAAAATAGTCTTTTTCCATAAATGTCTTATAAAGTATTATTTTTTAAAGTAGACCAATACAATAAAAATAAACCAGTCGCATTTCAAAGTCGTTCGCGAAATGACCGCCAGGTGGCGCAAAGGGACATTTATCAAAACGTAAGTGGGGCTAATGTCAATTAACAGTAAGGATGAAATTCTACAAGTTATGGTAATTTGCAAATAAGCCTACAACAAACATTTATTTTTAAACAAATATTTTTAAATATGCAACATGCACGTTTAAACAACAAACAATACAATCTGAACCAGCGCTTCTGCTCCTGTATTGAGACATGCAGCGCGTTGCAGTTACGATCCGGGTTCCAGTGGCCTTAATACATTCACGGCTTTTTAAAATGTCACAAAGCGTTTTGAGATGGTTTTGAATGAAATATTGAAGTTTATAATTAGGGTATTTTGGCACACCACGCCGAGTGGCTATGCATTATTCTAAAATCTGGCTTTATTCTGGCATGTTGAATTAGAGTTTGACAAACGCGGCGGCGCGTTCATTTGAATTTATTTTTCTCATAACAGCTAAAAGAACTTACTGCGTAATTGTTGGTCATACAGATAAGATATCATCTTTTAAAACTGTAAAAGGTCTACTTTTATTCATGTAGGCTAAAGTAGGCCTACACTCACAGGCTAACGACAAAACGTTTTCTCGCTCATGACAAACAAACGTTTGGGCATTTCTCAGTGAGAAAATTCATAGCCGAGTGGTAGAACTTACGGTTCGATCATCAAGATGACACGGGTTCAAATCCCGAACAAACATGGTCTATTGTAAATTTTATATTTATTAATGCAGAGAGATTTGTGTAGCTCTAAAACTCTGGTACACCATACAGTTTTTTGCTTATATTTATAAAATAAAATTACCATGCATTTCCATTTTACACTAAGGAACAATAGTATCCAACAGAACGACTTTGCATCTGTACCAATCGTATGAGGCCAATCTTAATTTCAAAAGCAGTTCTGTAAAAAAAGTAATTTTATATATATAGCCAATATATATATATATATATTTTATTAGGCCTATTATTATTATTTTTTTGATTCCCTACAACCTAGAGTTTTTAAAAACATGGTTTTAAGTAAAGTGTGATTTGCCAGGGGGACGGGGATTTCCTTCTGGTCTAAACATCCCTGCTTCTGCTGAATTATTTGAATCCCCACACCCCTCCCTCCACAGTAATCAATGCTATAGGCTACTTCACCAATAGACCATATCAAATATAAAATAGAGATATGCAACAGAACAAGCACGTTTAAACAACGATAAACAATAAAATCAAAACCAGCGTTTCAGTTGTCCATAGTTCAAGTGGCCTTAATGCATGCACGGCTTTTCAAAATTTCACAAAGCGTTTTGAGATTATTTTGAATGAAATATTGAAGTTTATAATTAAGTGTTTTGGCAGACCACGCCGAGTGGCCCTATGCATTTTTCTAAAATCGGGTTTTATTCGAACTTTTGCTAACGACAAAAGTTTATCTGTCGTCTCTGTCTCCGGGAACTGCGCGTCACAAAAATGAACCGAAAGCCACTTCAGCTCAGTCACTATAAGAAATCGGCTCTGTCTAATGCCTTTAAATGTCTAAATATTCAGGCTAATAAATGTTATCTGATTATGTAATCCATATGAAAACGAGAGGTACAGAGGATCTACTCAAACATGTAGCCTATGTAAGCGCTTCCCAATGAGAAAATGACAAGGGTGAAAATCTCGCTCTAATGAAATGTAGCAGGCTAAATCGCCCTGAATTAAAATGTAAAAACAGATCAAATAATGTATTTGTCGAAATGTTGCGATATTGTTTCATTTAAGTTCATAATTATTCTATAGGCCTACATGTTATTTAATTTAGCAGCATTACCACGAAGCACCGTGGTTCGATATTTATTTGAATAATAAAAAAAATAATAAAAACTTAATTCACAAATTGCATGCCTGGTTGAAAGGATCCAAAGATCCCTGTAGAATTTAATATTAAGTTGAACATTTTGTTCATGACAACAAATGAACATGCGTTTTTTCAGATTATATTTAGTTTTGCTTGGAAAAAGCTGGCCCAAACCAGTTTTATTTCATCAATTATTGAAATAATGAAATATTTAGTAATAAACTTTTATGACAGAAATTTCACTAGGCTACATGTAACTTAAATCATTTAATTCCTTCATTATCAACACTGTCTAGAATAGCGATTTAAGTGTGAATTGTGACTTCTCTTTGTGTTAAATCAGCCTCAGACTCCAATAGCCGGTGGGGGGTTGGAGGGACAGTTCAGTGCTGTATCGAGCGCGCAGGACAATAGGCCTAGGTGTTAATGTTCCTCTTTCATATGGAGAGCGAGGGAGACTAAATAAACTTGTTAAAAAGAGATTCAGCGCGAGAGAGGCAAAGAAAAACGCATGTTTTAATTTAATTATGTTGCTTTGGACAATTTTCGTTTTGTAGGCCTACTGTTTTAATTGTTTAATGTCATTTATTTGGCAATACAAATTTAAAATGTCGCAAGAATAATATTAGCCTAGTGTTTCTTATTTTGCATCGCAAAAGAAATAAACTCTAAACCCGATGCAACCCTGTTTTAAATAAAAAAAAACACTTTATTTAAACCTTGAAATGTTCGAACTTGGTTTCAAACTTAAGTAATTTTAGTGTTCTTTTACATTACACAATAATTTAGCAGACTAAAGACGAGCTTCTTCATTTTCATTTTCTGATGCAATCGGCTGACAATCTTCCTTCATCAGTTTGTGTCCTTTGTGCAGCGGCTGCGGTTCTACTGGAATGTAGCAAATTTATGTTGTAATGATAATTAAACAAAACTCTTGACTTTAAATAAGTAAACAGTTATAAACAGTTAGCTATTTAAGCATCAAGAAGGTAAAATATAAACGTTTAATATAAATGTTTTCATTATTTATTCAATTTCATTTCAGTATTTCAGCCTAATTTCAGTATTGTGGTAATGAATTATTTTAACTACGTTTCACTTGTTGAATTCATCTGCTACCAGCTTTCAATCGCTCTGAATGAGCAGCAGATTACGCATTAGAGAGAATAAACGAACACTTTTCAGAGTCTATGATTGTAGCGCCTCTTAGCGGTAAAAGGTAGCAAATACACCCCACATTTTACCGCCGCGGTGGAACGGCTGATGTGGGCGTTGTCATGGCTTTCCTCTACATTTGCGTTTGAATAGCGCGCGTTCTCCGTGGGCGTGTCAGATTAACGCGTAATGAAGTGTAATGAGCTGGGGAAAAAAATTCTGACAGCACTCTCTTTTCATACAGATTACATAAACTGAGAATATTTGTTTTTTATATAAATTACTTCATTGAAAAGAAGAGAATTCAAGCTTCATAAAGAAAAATCTCTCGTGCCTGTGTGACAAGTATTTGCAGAGTTAGAGTTAATTTTTCGGACGCGTTTCAGAATGGACTGCACTGACAGAGAGAAGGCAAAACTCGCATCATGTTTATTTTTCTTCATTTGACAAAAAGCACAACACTTTGTTTTTATTGTGAGTATACAGAAAAATAATATACACTAAACAGGATCGACTGATGTATAACACTTACATGTAAGATTAAAATCAACAGAGTATTTTGAGTCTCTTTTGCACTGATAAGAAAAAAAGTCTGCCTATCGCGCCGGCGCGATAGCCGACCCCAGGGGGTTAATATAACAGCATTTTTAATATGAATACAGGCACATTTCTGCCAAAAAAGTTTGTTTTACTAAGTTACAGTTAATTCATAAGTTGTGGAGTGAAATGTCTTCTAACTGGTTTGTTCTTGGAACAATGTTTCACCTGTTTTTTTGCGTCAAGATGTTGAGAATATCAGCGCTGTTTAATCTGGCTTTTAACTAGCTTAAATCACAGCCATCTGTGGGTTTATAATAGAGATAGAGAATTCTGCACTGAATTGAAATGCTTCTCAGTGGATCGCGCAACTCTGTGTAATAATGTTCGCATGATCGAGATCAGTCCGCACAGCTGCTTCGGCCGCGATCGCACTTTTTTTGGGCCGAGCTGATAATGCTCCGCGCTGGCATCCAACTTAAAGGTGCATTGCTGCCACCTACAGTACTGGAGTGTGAAACAGATTAGTGGGGGAAAAAAACAGGTGATGACTGCGTGTGTGGCGGGTGGTGGGCCGGCCCGCCGGCCGTCCTGGAGTACCGGCCGTTCTGTGATACTCCAGATCACACAGATGGCCAGTCCGCCCCTGGTAGCCGATGACACACGATGTCTGTTGAGCACAATGCAGAGATCTCGTCATTACAGCACGATTTTTGTGCTCTCACAAATTATTTCATTATAACTAACAGTGCAAATATGGTAGATTCATTGTGCAGTGTAGATGACGCTATCATCTGTGTGAGACAATTGTACATATAGCCCAGAATAGAGTGTCATGTTGAAAATAAAATCTTAATTTCCCTCAGGTTTGTGGTCCAACCATTCCTAAGACCTGTGATGTAACAACCACTTACAATGGCATGTGCTTTAAAATCAGTCCAGATAATGTTGTGAGCAGATCTGTGCCAGAGACTCTGAGAGGTACATTTATGACATTCTACCATTCAAGCAAGTCTTCTTCATACTATATGTACTGTATTACATTAATATTATGATTAAATGAAAATATGATGCAATTATTCATTTCTCCAACTTCAGAATGCCCACCATCACAAATTGATATTGCTTTTTTAATGGATGGATCTGGAAGTGTAAATTCTCTGAATTTTATTAAGATGAAAGCATTTGTTATAGAAATGATCAAAAGTTTTGTAGACCGTGATACACAGGTATGATAATCCATGCATTTATTATGATTTAGCTTGTCCATGATTTTTACCCCCATTTATCAGGCACTAAATCAATCTATCTATCTATCTATCTATCTATCTATCTATCTATCTATCTATCTATCTATCTATCTATCTATCTATCTATCTATCTATCTATCTATCTATCTATCTATCTATCTATCTATCTATCTATCTATCTATCTATCTATCTATCTATATATCTATCTATCATCTATCTATCTATCTATCTATCTATCTATCTATCTATCTATCTATCTATCTATCTATCTATCTATCTATCTATCCATCTATCCATCCTTCCATCTATCTATCTATCTATCTATCTATCTATCTATCTATCTATCTATCTATCTATCTATCTATCTATCTATCTATCTATCTATCTATCTATCTATCTATCTATCTATCTATCTATCTATCTATCTATCTATCTATCTATCTATCTATCCATCCTTCCATCCATCCATCCATCTATCTATCTATCTATCTATCTATCTATCTATCTATCTATCTATCTATCTATCTATCTATCTATCTATCTATCTATCTATCTATCTATCTATCTATCTATCTATCTATCTATCTATCTATCTATCTATCTATCCTATTTCTATCTATCTATTTATCTATCTATCTATCTATCTATCTATCTATCTATCTATCTATCTATCTATCTATCTATCTATCTATCATCTATCTATCTATCTATCTATCTATCTATCTATCTATCTATCTATCTATCTATCTATCTATCTATCTATCTATCTATCCATCCTTCCATCCATCCATCCATCCATCTATCTATCTATCTATCTATCTATCTATCTATCTATCTATCTATCTATCTATCTATCTATCTATCTATCTATCTATCTATCTATCTATCTATTCTATTTCTATCTATCTATCTATCTATCTATCTATCCTATTTCTATCTATCTATCTATCTATCTATCTATCTATCTATCTATCTATCTATCTATCTATCTATCTATCTATCTATCTATCTATCTATCTATCTATCTATCTATCTATCTATCTTTCTTACAGTTTGCCATTGCACAGTTTTCTACAGAATGTGTCATTCATTACAAGTTTCAAGTCCAAAACGCCATGGCATGGGAAGATGCAGTGAATGGGATATCTAAACAGAGAGGAAGGACTTCCACCGCAAAAGCTATAAGACATCTTGTGTGAGACATGACTGCTGATATTTCATCTTTTATCTATGCTATTAAAAGTAATATTGTTTCTGACAGAATGACTTAAAGTGAAGATAAGTTTACAGTAACAGGATATATAGTGAGGGCTGGGAGCACATCCTAATATAAAAAACGTATTCCTCATATAAAGAAAAACTCGGATGATGGATAATACAAGCAAAAAACATAGCTGTCTGAACAACCATGCCAAAAGTACACGAAAATAAATGTATATCAATGAGTGGATACGCATATTGCTATGAGTCTTTTTGCATTCATGTGTGTGTGTGTGTGTGTGTGTAAATATGTTACAGTGTTCCATAATTTGAACAATGTTTCAAAGACAAGCAATGTAAACTTAAAAGAAATGTATCCTATACAGTTGCATAATTGTATTGTTGATTGAATATTTTGTACTATTTTATTTTTCAATAGGGATAAACTATTCGTGAGTAGTGGAGGTGTAAGACCATCAGCCAGTAAAATTTTGGTTGTTATCACAGATGGTAAATCAACTGATTCAAAGTTGTTGACTGAAGCTGTTCAACACGCACAAGCTAAACATATAACACGATATGCTATTGGGGTAAGATTTGGGGGAATATCCACTTTATTAAAGTTATTAAAATCATTGGATTTAAGAAGTGTTACAATTATTTTCATGAAATATTTTTTAGGTTGGCAATGCTTTTACTAATGACAAAGCAACAAAAGAGCTGGCAATTATTGCATCTTTACCCACCAATAGGCATGTGTTCAAAGTAACCAATTTTGACGCTCTGGAAAGTATTCGTGAAAAACTCAAAGAGAACATTATAGCCATTGAAGGTATGTTTGCAGAGGGAATGAAAAATGAATAACAGAGAGAATTTTTACATTTTACATTTATCAGCTGTCATGTTAGTACAGTTACTTTGTTCAATAGATTGATTTAAAATAAATAATACATTTATTGTTAACTGTGTTGCTGCTTTTATTTGCTAGGAACCCAGACCTCTGGAGATTCATCTCGAATGGAGTTTGCACAGGACGGGTTTAGTGCAGCATTTACATCAAATGTAATTCTATGTATTTCACTTATTTGACACCAATTATTTATTTATTTATTATTATTTGCAAGTTAGATATCCATGATATTTTATGTTTTGACTCATGTTTAACTTTTCATCCACCTCAATGAAAAACACTGTAGATTTTGAATGCTTGTAAACTTATCTGGAAATTGAACATTACAATGTTATCTGCATTCAGACAGATATGATAATGACCGCAGTGGGAGCTTTCCAGTGGAAGGGTGGATATCAGCTGTACAAAACAAATGATATTTCAGATCAGTCTTTCAAGCCTAATTCAGTCTTTCAAGCTGGAAGTGAGCATGACAGTTATTTAGGTGAGATCTCTTCTTCGATTGTGTAAATCAATATAAATCAGTCAAAACATCAGAATTTTTTTTCTATTTTAAAGCTGCTGTCCGTAGCTTTTTTTGGGTTAAAAATTATCCAAAATACATATTTGATAAAATACATAACCAGCCAGTGTTCAAAACTATCTGCTTGCCTTAGCTCGATGCAAAACGGTAAGCTTGTAATAATGTTTTTAATTTTAGTGGTACTGGTGGATTTCCGCGGGAGATTCGAGCATGTCTTTGCGTCATTACGTCACATCTGTACACATAAAGAAGGAGTCTCGGCTAGTATAAGCTATATTGCGTGTGAGGATGTTGGAGGTAGAGATTTATAGCCTTTTCTCACAGCACTTGATATAATTAAAGTTATCAATTTGATGGCGGATCCAGAAAGGTTCAAACGACGATCATCATCAGTGACAACTAGAGACTCACCCGCTGTAAAATGCAAAAGACTTCGTTCGGACTTCGGAGTGGCTACAGAAAAAAAGAGACTGCAACCGGACCCATGCGAAAACAAGGATAATATCGGAAGGACATTACATGATGTAGTCACGCAATGCTTGCTGACGTTGTTAACATTAACAATTAGAGAACATAGTATAGCTACTTTGCACGGTTTTGCGTGAAATGATAACTTATAAGCAATTGTTAGATTTAATCAGCGCGATTTACTGCAATGTCAGAACCAGAACAAAAGTGAATGTTTCTTACTAGTTCAGATGACATTTCCCGGTGAAAATTCTTATGTTGGTCATACTTCCAAAAAGAATAATCTGTGATTCTGAATGACAATATCCACATCGGCGCGGTGACTGACAGCTGCACACTCTCCTCAAACACTGTGTTCATCCGCGCTGTGCCGTGTCGAGGGTGTTGAACTACAACCCACGTAAAGTTGATAATTCCGCGAATGACTGCAATTGCAGATTTCGAACAGAGATGGCGACAAAGAGGAAAAATGCCGGACTGCAGCTTTAAAGTGTATTTTCTTCACAGGTTATTCCTTGACAATAGCAACAATGTCCAGAGCAAAGTATGCAGTCATGGGAGCACCAAGACACAAGCATAAGGGACAAGTAACTGTTTCAAGAATTGATCGAAGTGATTTAAAGCAACTGGATCCTCCTAAGGTTGTAACACTCAAATTTCTGTAACATATTAGCACATCACAAATTAATGTAAGCGAGTGAAAGTACATGAACTCGGAATAGCTGTATGGTAACTATATTGCTTCTTTCTCAGCCTCAGATTGGCTCATATTTCGGAGCTGAGGTGTGTGTGGTGGATTTGAACAGTGACTCCTATACAGACCTACTTTTGGTATCGGCACCAACGTACACAGAGTCTGACCGAGAGGGCTTAGTGTTTGTTTACATCATCACGCGTCAGGTCAGTGTTTTTTTTGGGGGATTCAATTAAGACTAATATTTTTAAAGAGTTCATCAAGTAAGACTGAATAAATGTAAATTTGAGTCTGTTTAACCCTGTTTCTCCTCTCTCTGTTATATCTCCATAGGCAAAATTCATTTTTTCGGATACACTGGTGGGCATGGCAGGTCAGAGGGGTCGGTTTGGCTCTTCTCTGGCCAGTCCAGCAGATCTGAATGGTGATGGTTTCATGGATGTGCTGGTTGGGGCTCCTTTAGAGGAGGATGGACAGGGCAGCATCTACATCTTCAATGGCGGAATAGATAAAATAAATCCCAAATACTCACAGGTGAAAAAGACGAGGGTTGGTGGCAGTTAAAAGGGATATAAAATGTATTCATGATGTTTTATTAACAAAGTTCAGGAGAAGCACGTTCAGATAATTAACACGGGTGGAGAGCACTCAGTAATCATGATTAAAACGTGTATATATAGACTCAGCAGTCTCACCTCATTTCTCTGACAGTTTAGCAGCGTCCCTCCACCACCCCTTCTCCACTCTTCTAGTCCTAAACCACTTTACATACAGGGGGGAGTACTCTGGGTTCGGGCCGAATTCCGAGCTCGGAGCCCTCCCCCCGGACAGCACGCCAAATACGCATTATACTTTATTCCCTTTAATTGTATGTAAGTGTGAACTCGTGAATTCACCCTCATGGTTCACATTTCTTCCTTTCCTTTCCCTTGACTCACTTAATTTACTCGAATTGCTTTATATTTTCATTATGTTTTATTCCCTCTTGAATGAAACAGAGGATTGCTGGATCATCTGTGCGACCAGGTTTGCGGTTCTTTGGGATTTCATTGAGTCAGTCTTCTCTAGACCAGACTCGAGACAGCCTTTCTGACATTGCTGTTGGGTCCAAGGGAGCAGTTCTGCTTCTCAGGTCTGTTTTCTTTTATAAAGAACTAAAATATATACAACAGTGTTTCAGCCATAATCATTCATATGTGTTATATGTGGCTCGTTCAGGTCCAGACCCATCATGCTCTTGGAAACCAAAGTAACTTACAACCCAACCAAAATACCAACCGTTGACCAAACCGACTGCACAAAGCCACTGCAAAACGACCTGACTGTGTGCTTCATCATGAGCGGATACAAACATCGCATACCAGGTTTATTCATAATATAATTACATAGTTTTTGTACATCACATATGGTCATATATTCTGCTCAAGGTTTGTAGTATTCTGGTGTGCTCTAGAAATCCGGTATGGTTGCTTTTCTAATATTTGGGGCATTTATGATCAAACATGTTTTTTAGGTTTGGCTTCAAATATCAGTTACACCATAATGCTGGATTCCAAGCGACATAAATATCGTGCATACTTCCCAGACAAAAAAACGCTCCTCAGTGATGTGATGAACGTTGAGTTAAAGGAAGTATGCAAACCTCATCCTTTTTTTATTGAGGTAAGCATCAAATGTCATTTTTGTTTTGCATTTGTTCATACATTTGCAGTGAATCTGGTGAATCTAGGCTAAAATTTTGGACTTAAAGGGTAATTCCTGTTTCTCAGGCATTCAAACTTCATTAATTATCTTTATTTTATACATCTTTGTTATAATGTAACTTTTATTTGCTTGCATTTAAAAAAGTGTAGAAATTTCAGATACAAACATTTAAACAACACAAACTATTAATTATAACTTGATTATTTACACAGTGGCGAGAAAATTGTCAGGATATTAAACAGTATGTAACCTGATAGGATATAAGGAGCCAATGATCTATATTGTCTACTTAACTGAGAAAACTCCAAATGTTGAGTTTAATATTATATTCAACATTTCAAGAAATATGATGGGGACATTACAAGAATCAAATGCATAACAAGAGTGACCCAAGTTTAATCGTAAAGTGTTTTGTTATTAACGTCTCTCATTGATTCTCGTTTCCATAAGGCTTGTTCAGAAGATGCTCTGAATCCGTTGGCCAATCAGATAACATTCACATTTGAGGGTCTTCCATCAGGAAGTATGGGAAATTTGAGACCAGTACTGCTGCCAGAGACAAAGATCACCACAGACCACAATGTAAGAGTTCATCTGAGTTAAGAGCAGAAATTACCAGAATTTGATGTACAATTCATGAATTTTTCTGTGCCTTCACTTTGTTTTACAGCTGGATTTTGAGATAGATTGTGGAACTGATAATGTATGTGTCGATGACCTTAGAATGGATTTCAATTTCTCTGGGTGAGCAAACCGTTTGCTCTGTTTCTGAACTGAAGTATTGCAAGAAATTAATAAATCTCTCTTTGGTTTCTGTGGTCCAGATCTACGAACATAGAGGTTGGAATAATGCAGGAGCTCAACGTGACCGTGTTTGTAGAGAACAGAGGAGAAAACTCATACAACACTCTCTTCACCCTCAGCTACCCCTTTGGACTTTCCTACAGGAGATTCACATCTAAACAGGTAAACATAGTTTACAGGTAAACACTAGTTAATAATGACAATAACAATTATTTGCTAAAGCAAAATAGCTGTAAAAAACCTGAAGATGCAATACATTTTTTAATAAAACTTAAAATAACAGAGCCACATTAAAAATATGGAGCGTTAGAGTTGAATATTTTTAAACCATGTAACAAATGGAATGGTAGTTAAATTCAAGTTTTCTTTATGAGCAGGGCAGAGTGGAGTGTGTGTCTCTGGATGCTGAGCGAGGAGTTACACTGGGAGAAACCTCCTGCCAGATCAGTAAACCCATCCTCAAGGGAAACACTCAGGTCAATAATCACACCCCTGACACCAACGTTTATTACATTTATTACAAAATAGTCCCCTAGAAGGTTTTCTTACAGATTTAGTCACAGATGATCATTCATTCATTCATTCATTCATTTATTCATTTGAGCAGAATATCCAGCCCGTTCTCATCCCAAGGCTTCATATATGTGACGCTTTGGACATTTCGTCGAAATCTTACGCACATGGCATCCTTTAGCGTCAATATGAGACGCAGAACCCAAGGCGTCATAACCGTACCCTACCCCAGACCTAAACCTACCCATAACAGTGCGTGTTATATTGACGCTAAAGGATGCCATGTGCGTAAGATTTCGACGAAATGTCATATGGCGTCACCTATATGACGCCAAAGGATGAGAATGTGTTGGAATATCACAATGGAGATCGCTGAACTCCAACATACATGTTTGTATTTTCAGATCATCAGCGCATGGTTTTCAAGTTGGGAAGATTAAAAGTAAAACACTTGTTGGATAATTTATTGATTTAAGAGGAAAGCTCTGATTGGTGGATTTAAACTCTAGACATCTGGCAACCCCAAGTATGAAAGCTCATGGAGACTTGTTACTGATACAAGATAACAGAAATGTAACAAAATAAAATAAAAAAAGGAAACTTTTGAGGAAAAATAACCAACGGGCCAATATCACAATGTTTATGCTTTTCAAGAGAACTTTTATGATTATTTATCAAGAGAAGCAGAAATCGTGATCACGATTACGTAAAATACTTTAATATTACTTATAAACAATTTATACTTTACTGTAATAATTTATAAAAAATAATTGTCCAGCTCAACTAGTATGCTTATATACTTTCATTTACTGACTTGACTAAACTCAAAGCAGTTAAACACTTTTATCCAGAGCAACATACATGGGTGTGTGACTGGTCAACATGTTACATTGATATATGACTTACAACAACTTTAATTAGTCCAAAATTGTTGCTTATTCTGGCTTTTTTGTTCAAATTCTAGGTTGTGTTTGATATTACATACAGTATTAATAAAGAAAGTACACTGGGCCAAAATGTGAGGTTTACTGCTGCAGTCACGAGGTATGACATCATCTTTGTGTGCTAGAAGTTGTTGAACCCAAAGCGTAAAACACCTTTACCGTGAGCTCTAGGAGGATTCTCACATGATCATTTCATCAGGAACAGATAAATGCAACTAATAAACCAAACCTCCATCTCTCACAGTGGGAATGACAAACACTCAAGCGACAGTGAGTTTAACAAACAGAAAACCATTGATGTCAAATATGCCATCTATATTGCCTTGATAAGGTTAGTGCTCTGCCCCACGTTTCTGTATAGAAATAATAATAATAAAAAATCTTTATCCTATACTGTAATTTTGTCATTTTCTTTCATCATTTTTAAATAAAAGGCATGAAAATTCCACCATCCACATTAATTTTACTTCAGGGAAAAGGGATCTTATGAAACCGGTCCAGCAGATATTAAAGGTACTGTAGTTCTCTATCTTAAAGTATATTATAAAAAGGTTGTATACTGTAGTTTCAAAAAGGCTGAATGACAGATTTTAACAGGCTTTATTTTATCAACAGAAGAAAATGTTAAAATGCCCATCCTGAACGTAACTCTTCCTTTATTTTCTCTCTCTCTTTCAGGTTCAGAATGACCTCAGAGAATTAGCTTTCAAAGTTTTCATCAGAGTACCAGTGAAATTTGGTGATACTGACATCTGGACTAATTCAAATTTGCAAGTGTGTGAATTTATTTATTATCTCACAGGCCATACAGGCATACTGATTTTTTGCCTATTGCTTATGCACTTTTTGCAGAATTTGGCTCATTATGTCAAAACTCTACACACAAGCCAATCAGACATGGCACTTGGAGATTAACAACTCTATGCCAAAATGAACAACTTAACACTCCTTTCTAAAAAAATAAAATTCGTATCGGATCTGGCCCCGCCTTCTGTTCGGATCTGGCCACAAGACCTCGTCAACATCACCGCGATGTCCTCGCGCGCTAGGCATCGGGGAAAATATCGCCTTGTGCGTCGAATCCACCCTTGGATTGATCCCACCACAATGGCGTGTGGTTGCCGATCATATACTTTCCCCGCCACGCTGAAAAGAATTCCTCAACTGCATTTAGAAAGGGGCTGTAAGGGGGCAGGTATAAAAGTGTGAAATGGTTATGGTTGTTGAACCAATCTCGGACCAAAGCAGCCCGGTGGAAACTAATTTTATCCCAGATGACAACAAACCTAGGCTGCTCTGGTCTGTCCTGCACAACTGCATGTAGTGCATCTAGAAATGCAATGATCTGTCCTGTATTGTAAGGACCTAGAGTGGCATGGTGATGAAGGACTCCTTGGACACTAATTGCAGCACACAAGGTGATATTTCCCCCACTCTGCCCAGGGACATTTACAACAGCCCTTTGTCCAACTACGTTACGGCCCCGACGCCTGGTTTTGGCCAGATTGAAGCCTGCCTCATCCACGTAGATGAACTCATGTGGCAGTTCGGCGGGATCAAAATCCAGAACTGTCTGTAGTTACTGAAAACACATACAGTAACTACAATGTCTATATTTTCACACAAGTAGGGGCTGAGTTGGGCCAGTATAGACAAAAACAAGCAATGGGCAAAAACTGTAATTTACTGTAATTAAATAATTTCTGTATGATGTAAGGAAGAAAAACGGCATCCCATCCTTCACCCATAATTGTTCAGAAACTTGTTTTAAAATATCACCAAGGAAAGCGTACAGAATACTGTAGTTTGAAACCAGTGGTCCTGAACCAGAGGACCTCAGCAAACTTACAAGAGGGCATTTGCTGAAAGAAAGTGGGATTTTCTTTCTTTCTTTCTTTTTAAAGATACCTGGCTGTAACAGTGAGAACATGACGAAGCCTGTTATCACCAATTTTGCATTGTTGGAAGTTATTAAAAATTATCGTCTGGTGGTGAGGACACTTTTTGAATTTTGTTTTGCTTTACCTATTTTTTTTCCACAATTTATTTGATTTATTTCTTGTATATTTTAAACACACATTAATGAATCTCTCTCTCTCTCTCTCTCTCTCTCTCTCTCTCTCTCTCTCTCTCTCTCTCTCTCTCTCTCTCTCTCTCTCTCTCTCTCTCTCTCTCTCTCTCTCTCTCTCTCTCTCTCTCTCTCTCTGTGTGTGTCAGAACTGCTCTGTGGCGGTGTGTGCCGTGTTCAGCTGTGACATCACTCTCATAAAGAATGAAAGGAAACTGTATAATATATTTGGCAATGTGAGCTCTGGATGGATTGAGCAGGTATCTGACTTTTAAAGTAAATTCATATCTCAAAACAGACCATATATATTCTTCATAACTGTTTGATCATTTCTTATTGTCACGATCTGTCTCTCTTAGACTGGACTCAAGGCTGCTGTTTTTGAGTTGGTCAGTTCAGCGTCTCTGGATTATGACAAGAGCAAATACATTTTCTTTTCCTCTGATTCTCAACACACTGCACCGTCTGTCCAGGTAATACAGTGATCGTTCATGTCAAGTCTAATGACTGTAAAAAGAGCTCTCAAAACTGTGCTCTGTTTGAAGGAATCTATAACGGCAGTCGACTGTTTATAGTTTATGATTTGATCATTTGACCTGTATTTTATTCTTTTTTTTTCAGACCACATACTTTTCTCTTTTTGCTTCTTGCAAATATATTGACAATTGCACTTACAACATTCTTTCACATAAATCTATACTTCCTGTGCAAATACAACAGAGTCAAGAATGCTTACACTGTTCAAAAGTCTGGGGTGTGAAAGTCTCTTCATTTGACCAAATATACAGTAAACAGAGTAATATTGTGAAATTTTATTACAATTTTAAAGAACAGTTTTCTATTTTATTATATTTTAAAATAAAATTCATTCCTGTGATGTCAAAGCATTTTAAAACAGATTACAACAACAGCACAAGAGACAGGCATGTGGGTCATACACACACTAAAACAGATGCATTATAACAAAAGAATATAGTAAACCATCATGGGTAACACTTTACTTGAAAGGGTGTGCATAAGACTGACATGACACCTTCATAACCATGACATGACATATGTCATGAATATGAAGTAGGGTTTATGCATGTTTATGACAACTGTCATTAAGTGTCTTTCGCTCAATAATGACATTTTGAATGCAAATATGACATTGTTTAAGATGTCTTTGTTATGACATCTTGACATAAACCAATACATCATAACCTGTCAGTGTCTTGGTAATGACAACTTGACATTAAATTAAGTTAAACTGTCATGTGGTTGGTTTTGACATTGGCTGTCATGAGGCCATTATAACTGTGTCATGAATATTTTTCATGACCTCAACTACAGTGGTACAAATTGAATTTGTCATTAAAAAGTTATAATGGCTTCATGACAGCCAATGTTAAAACCAACCACCTGACAGTTTAATGTAATGTTAACCAATAAAGCTAAGTGGTTTGTTAAGTTTGATAATTAATCTGCTATGTCATGTTTATGACAGGTTGTGTTGTCTTAGTAATGTCAAGTTGTCATGACAAAGACACTGACAGGTTATGATGTATTTGTTTATGTCAAGTTGTCATAACAAAGACATTTCAAACAATGTCATATTTGCATTAAAAATGTCATAACTGAGCGAATGACACTTAATGACAGTTGTCATAAACATGCATACAACTTCCTTCATATTCATAACATGTGCCATGTCATGATTATGAAGGTGTCATGTTATTCTTATGCACACCCCTTCAAGTAAAGTGTTACCCAATCATGTTATCAAATAATAATGTCTCTATTGTTCGACATGGAACATCTGTGGAGGAGGAAGGGGGACTTCCTGTTACACTGAGATCACTTCTGACTGCATTTAAAATTCACTTGTTTACATGTTTCCACTTTGTAGATTAACACTCAAGTGGAGGTGTTTGAGGAGGTGAACCTGACCAAAGAGACCACTGGAGGAGTAATAGGAGGACTGTTGCTACTGGCTCTCATCACAGCGGCTCTCTATAAAGTATATCACCATCATAACACTTCACTTTCACCTGTCTACACAATCTATATGTTTAAATGCTTACAGTGCAGTTTATTACAGCATATTTCTCCCTTTACAAGGCTGGGTTCTTCAAAAGCCAGTACAAGCAGTTGCTGCAGGAGGCGCAGGGCGATGCAGGAGGACAGCCAAACATGGCACAATAATGTGCACTCAAACAGTTGGAAGATACAAGCACTGATTGTGTAATTTGTGTTTTGTGGGCTTGGGAATGAAACGTGAATTTAACACCCCCTCTAGCAAAATATTCCGGCCTGATTTAGGACATTTTATGAGAAATGAAAAGTGGACAAATTTTCATCGTAATATATTTGATATTAATTCATATATAATTTTACTTTATATCACTAATAATCATTATCTTATCTAACCATGAGCTTAACAATTACAGTATAAAGCATTTCAAATATTTAACTTCCTTTGAAAACTGATAATGACTGAGTGAGAACTAGCAGTTTTTGAGATGTTTTATAAAATTTAATCATTCTCATAGAAGGGATTGGCACTGGGTATATTTTGTAAATGTTTTATAGCTTTCTGCTTAATATTAAATATATAGTTGAGTTTTTGCAAAACTTCCTTTTTACTTGCAAATTATTTCCATAATTTTAATTAAAGAAAAAAGCCGCTTAATGTTGGTAAGATCCATTACACTTATTTTTGTGTCATTATTTATTTGCCCTTCATCATATATATAAAGTCTAGGTAACGACTGTAGCCCTGGTTCCCTGAGATGGGGAAAGAGTCTTGGTATTGACGCTGTGTGGAACGGCATCAGTGTGTTTTGTCTAAAGGAGACTCGCAGGAAAGCCAGAGGTATGGCAACGAGACGCAGGGAACCAGAGTTACAGTCATAACCTTTGAATATCAAAACGATCCATTTTTGGAGCTTGATTAAAGAAATGCTTTGTTTATAATGAGGAGTATGTTTTAAGCCTTGAAACTTGCAGGACGTTTTAATGTTACAAAGACCTCTTATATGGCAAAAGATCATGGCAAATTTGATTTCTCACGTTATGACCCCTTTAAAATGTTTCTGCAGTACCTTTATTCTGCTTAGGTGTGCCAGTGCTGTCACTGAACATTTGGGTCAAAGAGTCTCAAGTTTTATAGAAGTGTATAATAGTTATAGGCTATACATAAATGCTCTCTTAAAAAAGTTGCTGCCATCACTTTTTAAGTACAATCAACTTGAAAGTGGAAAATTGCTTGACGAATTAAAGCAATATAAAAACACATGTTGTTATAACTTATTGATCATATACATTTTAAAATAAATAAATCACTTACAACTTTGAAAATCTGTACTGGGGAAAAAAACAGTTCCTAAGGACACAAAATGTTTTATGAAAAACAAAAAAATGGATCATATGGTTGTGTATGGCTCCTATTTCCTTGTAACTAAGACGGGGAAGCTTCAGTAAACGTTGTGCTGCTCCTGGCAGTGAACTTCAGAAGAGCTTGAACAGGATATCAACATTAGCGAAGAAGTGGCCATAGCGTGTCTTAAAGCAACACTAAGTAAGATTTTTTTACCTTAAAATAATGTTTTCAAAATCGTTTCAGTGGTTCATCAAGTCGTGACATAGTGAAATGCACTTATGCCACCGCTTTGCGATCCTTTATCTGATATATCCACGCTATGTAAGATTGCCAGATCGGGTCGCGTTTCTGTAGTCCGAATGAGACAGTTGAGAGGTGGCGTGATTGGACTGATACCCCCATTTCGTCGTCATTCGACGTAACTCGAAGTGACTACGAAAGGGAACATCTCGGTTACGTATGTAACCCTCGTTCCCTGAGTAGGGAACGGAGACATTACGTCCAATGACGATGAAATGGGGGTTTGGCTTAGAAACCTATCACCTTCGAGTGTTAAAAAGCGAGCCAATGGCAAAGAAATGCCATGGGTCTGCGGAATTTGCATAGCGTAACTCCGCCCCACCTCGTGGGTATATAAGGAAGAACGCTGGCAGAATGCAGACATGTTTCCCTGCTGAGGAACCAAGACTGAGCTCGGCGTTCCAGCGGAACAGCGGAGGTGGCAGGAAGACGTAACGTCTCCTTTCCCTACTCAGGGAACGAGGGTTACATACGTAACCGAGACGTTCCCTTTCGTAGTCACTTCGAGTTACGTCGAATGACGACGAAATGGGGGTATCAGTCCAATCACGCCACCTCTCAACTGTCTTCCAGTGCCCTGCGTAAGTGTGAGCTCCCTGTTGTGAGACTGGCACGGACGAAGGACTCCAACTTAACACAGGAATACCAAGGTACACTGGGGAGCATATCTCAGTGGAAATATGCAAACCATGCCCGCCCGAAGGGAGGTCTTAAGAATACACGAATGGCCCGAGAGAGGGTAGCATACGGAAGAACACTGGAGTGTCCAGCCCGTAGGGTGGAATCTTTCAACTCCAGGGGTGGCAAGGTGGCTTGCCAAGGGAAAGAGACACGCTCAAGGAGGCTTACAGTGGAAATACACACGTGGGGGTCACCCAGCGGGGGAACCATGCACATGGAGGCACCTAGCCAACTGCGAAAGCTGCCGGTGGCATAACCTTGGCGTTGACGTCAACAGTGCTGGAGGAGCCCAGGGCTTCTCGGGGAAACTCAACTGTGGAAAATATCGCACGTATCCAGTCCGTGGAGTGGAATGGCGAGCAAGCGAAGACACCTGAGCGGATCCTAGTACTGGCTAGTTGAAGCGAGTGCACGAGAGGACACTGGCTCCACTCGGAGATTATAGAATCTCGCGAATGTATTAGGTGTCGCCCAGCCTGCAGCTCTGCAGATGTCTGTTAGTGAGGCGCCATGCGCTAGAGCCCAAGAGGAGGCCAGACTCCGAGTGGAGTGGGCCTTCACACCAAGGGGGCACGGTCGACCTTGCTGCTGGTAAGCCAAAGCAATGGCGTCCACTATCCAGTGAGACAACCTTTAAGCCAAAGGTAAGCCAAGGCTGGGTCTGCCTCCTCCGAGGGCAGCGCTTGCAGGTTCACCACCTGGCTCGAAACGGAGTGGTAGGAACCTTGGGCACATATCCAAGCCGGGGTCTCAGGAACACGTGAGAGTTAGCTGGCTCGAATGCCTGCAGGTCCCCTACCCTCTTGATGGAGGCCAATGCAATCAGGAGTGCTGTCTTCATGAACAGGAACTTAAGCTCCACTGACTGCAAGGGCTCAAAGGGAGCACTCCGTTAAACCACTGAAAGGTCCCAAGAGGGAAAGAGAGGAGGGCGAGGAGGATTTAGTCTCCTCGCTCCTCTCAGGAACCTGATGACCAGGTCGTGCTTCCCAACGGACTTACCCTCAACTGCAACATGATGTGCGGCGATAGCGGCAACATAAACTTTCAGGGTGGAGGGAGAGACTGCCTTCGCTCCAACCCATCTTGCAGGAAGGAAAGCACAACACTGATCAGGCATATCGTGGGGTCTTCTCTGCGAGAAGAGCACCAGTTGACGAAGAGGTTCCACTTCAACGCATAGGCATGTCTCATGGATGATGCTCTAGCGGAAGTGATGGTAGACACCACCGCTGGTGGTAGTGTACTCAACCTACCTCATCCCATCCAGGAACCAGACATGGAGATTACAAAAATGGGGACGAGGGTGCCATAGGGTGCCCCGTCCCTGAGAAAGGAGATCCTTCCTCAGAGGAATTGGCCAGGGAGGTGCTGTCGCGAGGAGTACAAGTTAGGAGAACCAGGTCCGGGTGGGCCAGTGAGACGCAACCAAAATGACCTGCTCCTCGTCCTCCCTGATCTTGCACAGGGTCTGTGCGAGAAGGCTCACTGGGGGAAACGCATACTTGCGGAGGCCCTGCGGCCAGCTGTGCGCCAGTGCATCCGTGCCAAGCGTGCCCTCGGTCAGGGAATAAAACAGGCCGCAATGGGTCGAGTCGTGGGAGGCAAACAAATCTACCTGAGCGTCCCCGAACTGGTCCGGAATCAGCTAAACCGACTGGGGATGGAGTCGCCATTCGCTGGAGAGAGGCCGAATCCGTGAGAGCTCGTCGGCTGCACAGTTCAGGTCTCCTGGAATGAAAATAGCACGAAGCGACCTCAGATGCTTCTGACTCCATAAGAGGAGGTGGCGGGCGAGTTGCGACATACGGCGGGAACGTAGACCACCTTGACGGTTGATGTACGCTACTGTCGCGGTATTGTCTGAGCGGACTAGTACATGCTGGTCCTTGAGCAACGCATGGAAGCGGTGCAGAGCCAATCGTACGGCCAGCAACTCGAGGCAATTGATATGCAGAAGGCGCTGGGGTCCTGTCCAGGAGCACGCGGCTGCATGTCCATTGCACATGGCACCCCAGCCCGTGGTGGAGGCATCTGTTGAGACAACAACATGCCTGGAAACTCGATCTAGGGGCACACTGGCCCGTAGAAAGCTGAGGTTCGACCACGGGGAGAAGGTTTGACGGCAGGCCGGAGTAACTGGTACTCAGAGCGTGCCCTGTTGCCATGCCCACCTCGGGACTCGATCGCGAAGCCAGTCCTGAAGCGGTCTCATGTGAAGCAACCAGAGTGGTGTGGCTGCCGCTGCGGATGCCATATGCCCCAGGAGCCTCTGAAAAAGTTTCAGTGGAACCGCACTCTTGCTCTGGATTTGACGCAGGCAAGTCAGCAGTGACTGTACGTGCTCGCTCCTAAGCTGCACGGACATGGCGACCGAGTCGATTTCCATACCGAGAAAAGAGATCCTCTGCACTGGGCAAAGTTTGCTCTTCTCCCAGTTGACCCGAAGGCCTAGACAAGCTAGTTGCCGGAGCACAAGGTCCCTGTGTTCGCAAACCTGGTCTTGAGAGTGAGCTAGGATTAGCCAGTCGTCAAGATAGTTCAGGACGCGAACCCCGTGTAGCCAAAGCGGTACAAGGGCTGGCTCGACGACCTTCGTGAAGATGCCAGGAGACAGGGCTAGCCCGAAGGGGAGAACCGCATACTGATATGCCTTCCCCTCGAAAGCAAACCGTAGAAACGGTCTGTGTCGAGGAAGAATGGAGACATGAAAGTAGGCGTCCTTCAGGTCGATCGCTGCAAACCAATCCTGTGGCTGAACACATTTGAAAATGCGTTTGGCCATGAGCATTTTGAACGGAAGTCTGTGAAGGGATCGGTTCAAAACGTGCAGGTCCAGGATTGGCCGTAACCCACCGGATTTCTTTGGTACAATGAAGTAGGGGCTGTAGAACCCGGACTTCATTTCGGCTGGAGGGACAATCTCGATCGCACCTTTCGCCAGCAAGGTTGCAACCTCCGCACGCATGACCGGGGCATTGCCACTGACCGTCGTGAAGCGGACTCCCCGGAAGCGGGGAGGAGCTCGTGCGAACTGAATCGCGACCCAGCGGGACAGGTTGGGAAGCTGAAGCCAGGCTCCCAAAGACTGAACCAGCGGGGTCATGGGGAC